TTCCTTCCTGGCGGGCGGGTCGTGAGCGGTCATTTCCGCGATGAAGTCGGCCAGGGCTTGTGCTTTCAGAGCTTTCCTACTCTCGTATTGAATGTCGAATTCGGAGAGCTCCAAGGACCATTTCAACATTCTGCCCGCCATGTCGGGCCGACCCAGGAGTTGCCTCACTGGTTGATCGGTTCGCACGATGACTGTGTGGGCCAGAAAATAGTGTCTGAGTCTCCTCGTCGCATTGACGAGGGCTAGAGCTACCTTTTCTATCTGTTGGTACCTGCTTTTGGGTCCTTGTGGGGCTTTGCTCGTGAAGTAAACAAGTTTCTGTCCGTCGGCGGTCTCGCGGATGAGAGCCGCGCTGAAGGCTTCGTTTGAGACGGCCAAGTATAGGAATAGTGGCCCCCGTCGGCTAGTCGAGATAGTACGGGTGGTTGAGATAGACTTTGCTTTAGGTGGCGCAGTGCCCGTTCACACTCCTCGGTCCATTCGAAGGCTGCTTCTTTGCGAAGGAGTCTGAAGAAGGGGAGGGCGTGCTGAGCGGACCTCGCGACGAAGCGGGACAATGACGTGAGCATGTCATTCATGACTTGTATTGATTTATTCGACGTCGGTGTCGGGAGGTCGGAGAACACTCGACACTTGTCAGGGTTGACTTCAATTCCTCGTTCTGTTAGGTAGAATCCGAGGAATTTTCCCGCCTTGACTCCGAACATGCATTTGTTGGGGTTGAATCTCATTTTGCATTGTCTTGCTTGGGAAAAGACTGCCTTGAGGTGTGCGGCATGGTCAGTGTCTGCTCGGGATTTGACGATAATGTCGTCCATGTAAACCTCGAGCATGTCCCCAATCTGCTTGTGGAAAACCATGTTCATCATACGTTGGTAAGTTGCCCCGGCGTTTTTTAGTCCAAAGGGCATTACGTTGTAGTAATAATTGCCCGAGCTGGTCATGAAAGTCGTGCAGTGTTTGTCGCCCATGGCCATCGGGATTTGATTATAGCCCGAGTAAGCATCCATGAACGATAACGTTTTGTAGCCGGCCGAGTTGTCGACCAGCATGTCTATGTTCGGTAAAAGGGAAAGCATCTTTCGGGCAAGCCCGGTTGAGATCGGTATAGTCAACACACATCCTCCATTTTCCGTTATTCTTTTTAACAAGTACAACGTTCGACAGCCAGGTTGAATACCGGGCTTCAGAAATAAAATTCGCCTCTAGGAGGTCTTTTACAGCTTTTTCAGCAGCCTCCGTTTTCTCTGGAGACTGCCTACGCCTACGTTGTACTACGGCCTTAGCGGCAGGATCTATGGCGAGGTGGTGACAGGCGACCTCAGGGTCGAGTCCGGGCATCTCCGCGGCGCTCCAGGCGAACAGGTCAGCATTCTCGCGCAAGCAGGCTTTGATTTGCTTCCTTGCCAGGTTGGGGAGGTCCTTGCCAATCTTTACTCCTTTGCTCGGGTTTGCACCGAGGGGGACGAGCTCAAAATCCCCGTCCGGTATTGGTCAGAGTGGAACTTGCTCACCGTTGGGAGGTTCGTCCTGATCGAAACGAGCATCCAGGGCTATAGAGTCGACCTTTGGTGGAGCTTTATGGACTTCTTCCTTGGCGGACTCTGGCTTGTCGGGCTCCTGTCGTGTCGTCGCTGGTCTTTTGGCGGGCCTTGTCCCTACGTCGACAGTGCCGCGTCTCTTAGATGCAGCATTGAAACATCTCCGAGCAGCGGCTAGGTCTCCCTGGATAGTAGCTACCCGTGCCCTTTTAGTGTAGAACTTCATCTTCAGGTGGACGGTGGAGGGCACCGCTGTCAGTTCTGCCAGTGTTGGTCTCCCCAGGATGCAGTTGTAGAGGGACGGGCAGTCGATGACGAGGAAGCGTACTTTGAGCTGCCTTGTCGTTGTCGCTGTGCCTTCGCCGAATGTAACCATGAGCTCGACATATCCCCAAAGCTTGGAGGTCGAGCCGTTGAAGCCTTGCAAGTCCGACCCTACATATGGCGAGAGATGGGAGTCGTCCAACTGCAGAGTTCTGAACAATTGGCTGTACATTACGTCAACGGAACTTCCTTCGTCGACGAGGATGCGGTGCACATCGAAGTTAGCCATTCTCGCCCTTATCAGCAGGGGAATGACTGCGTTGGGGGCTCCCCCGGGGAGCTCTTCCAGGTAGAAAGTGATGGGCTCCGACCTGCCTTTTACCCTCTCGAATGTTACTGTTTGCGGGGGTGCCGCGCCGACCAATTCATCCAGCTTCCTTTTAGCCGAATTGATAGTCAGGTCGTTGAACCCTCCGCCGTTGATGACCATGGCGGAGGGGAAATATTCCCACCTGCTGTGTGTTGTGAGCGGTTCCTGCAGGTGTTCGGGGACGTCAAAGTCCTCGGGTCTGGTGACAGAGATGGCGGTCTGGATGGGGACCGACTCGTCAGATGGTCGGGCATCTTCCTCCGGTTCTCTTGCTTCCCGGGTGTCACGACGAGGAGCGTCGTTTTGCCAGTATTGTGTGAGCCTTCCTCCTTTGATGAGGGTTTCGATGGCGTCCTTGAGGTGGACGCAATCTTCAGTCAGATGACCATGGCTCCTATGGTACTGACAATACTTGCTCTTGTCTGCTCCGGGCTTGGCGGGAGCAGGTCGGGGACGTTTGACGTTGCTGTCTTTGAAGTCCGTGCTGGCACACTCCGCCAAAATGCGCTCGCGGGAAGTTGTGAGCGGAGTGTACTCGGTAAAACGCCCCGAGGGTCCTCTTTGTTCTCGGACTTCTCGGGGTCTGTCTTCTTTTCTTTTCTCCCCGGCTCGTCGAGGAGGAGCTTCCTGGCGCGGGTTGCTGCTGGACCCGCGAGTCCTGGGGTCTCGGGCTCTGTTGGCCGCCTCCCTCTCCTCGTAATCCATGTACGCCCGGGCCTTCTCGAGGAGGACATCGAATGTTCTAGGTGGCTCGATGCCCACTGCCTTTCTAAATTCAGTGTCGGGGAGGAGCCCCATCTCTAGCAAATATCTTTTCATGTGGTCCGCACATGGGACCTATAGAGCTTCGCGGTTGAAGCGATTGATAAACTCTCTCAAGGTCCCATCCTGTCTCTGGATGATAGCCTCGAGGGCTGCTTCGGTCTTTGGGTGTCGCCGAGACGCAGTGAAAGAACTTATGAATTGGTTCTTCAGGTTTCGCCACGAGGTGATTGATTCCGGAGCAAGACCCTTATACCAGTCCATTGCTACTTTTCTAAGGGTCGTGGGGAACAACCGGCACTTGATGGGTCCCCTGACGTTGTGATAATGCAGCATAGCCTCGAACCCGTCTATGTGGTCGACCGGGTCCGCGACTCCGTCGTATTCCTTCAAATGTGGAGGCTTCTCCATGCCCGGGGGAATGGGCGCCTCCATGATTGCTTGTGACAAGGGACCGCGGGGGTCGTCCTCGTCGCTCCGCTCCGGGGAGAGGGAAGGGGACCTGTAATACTGTCGAGCACGACGGTCCTGGTCGTGCTGGGTATCTCTTGAGCGTGGTGCTCGTTGGTTGATTCTTCCGTGTCCGTCTCTGGAGTGTCTTCTTTCTTGTCGTGTGGGGGCGTGGCCGCGTCCCCCGACTTCAGTCATGGGTTGTCTCTCCAAAGGGGGTCGTCTCCCCGAGGGTCGGGGGGACGGGCTTCGGGAAACATCTTTGTATTGTCTCCGCGGGGGAGACGGGAGAGGTACTTCCGTTACTCGAGGAGGTGGGGTCTGGGGCCTCCGGTGCCTCCTTGGGGGTCTTCGATCATCTTCTAGTGCCCTCAATCTTTCTCCTTGTGCGAAGATGAGGTAGTTCGTCTGATTGATCGCCGCGAACAGCGCGCGGGTTGTGGCATCTGCCCCGGCGGGGATAGGGACTTCCTAAAACTGGGCAGTTCGATAGTTCGTGGGAGCTGCGTTATCTTCCTCGAGCGGCGGAGGGACCGAGGAGGAAGATGCAGTAACTCCGTCGCGGTGGACTGAGGACCCGGGGGCAGTTACCACGGGGAGGGTGTTATGACCGGGGTTACCGGTGTTATCGGGATGTCCGTTTTTATCTGCGAGGCCGTTGTTGGTGTCGACGATGCGGATGTTTTGTTCATCACGAACTTGGTCAGCCATGACGATGATAGTTGAGTTGAGCTTTGGTCTTTGAGTTTTTGCAAGACGGGGAAGCTAGGTTCCCACAGACGGCGCCACTGATCTTACCTGATCAGACTTGGACCGTCACGACTGGCTCCGAGCTGAAGTTTGAACGAGATGAGGGAGGTACCTGCAAGGCACTCCGATGTTAAAGTGAGTGGTAGTACGAGCAGGCAAAAAAGTGTGTATATGGGTAAGAGAATGAATACCTGATCCTCTTGGAACAGAGGGTATTTATAGCCCCCAGCGCTGGGCCAAGGTCCCTTCATTGGGCCGACCAGGATTGACCCAATAAAGGAACTGCTAGGTTCTACGTGCATAGTGGGGACTCGCACGTGGTCTCCTTCCTGGATGCTTTGCGAGAAGTACGGACGGACGAGGACGCAGTCTCTTCGGAGTTCAGGTGATGGTGTGACGGTTACAATATGCCCTACAAGGAGGGTGCTCGAGCTGAACTCGAACTGGATTGTATGTGGTCGAGGACGTTGCGTCCGCGGACAGTGGCGGGCACGATCGTAGCTTCGGGTCGACGCGCCCCCTGTAGAACCGTTTGGATTGGACCTATTCTTGTTCCTGGGCCAACCTGGACCCAATCCAGAACAATATTATTTAAAGTTTTGTAACATTTGAGTTAAAGTAAAAAAAAAAAAGGTTTAATTGTGAAATTGGGCCCAATCTTAAACATGAATATTGAAGAAGAACCCATGGCTGCCGCTAAGGTCAAAATTCAAAATTTTAACAATCGATTAGTGGCACTTTTGCTGCACCGCCGCAAACAAACCCTAATTTCGTTCCTCGTTCTTTTAATTCCGATTTAACATATTCAATTCAACCGGTAAAACAGTGAAGCAAAGAGTGTTAAACAATAAATTGGCAAAAAAATGGTGTTTTGTGATCACTGTTTGACAAACGTCGCTGAGGAGATAATCGATGATGGTTACTTGTGAGTAACTTTTTATGCAAAGTTTTTCTAATTGATTTTTCGTTTTTGTATGATTATTGAATTGAATTATGGATAACTTAATAGTCATTTGAATTTTGACAGATGTTGTGGAGATTGTGGGAAAGTGTTGGAAGATCACCATTTTTCTCAGAAAACAGTGTTTTGTGATCACTGTTGTAAAAATGTTTATGGTATTCGACTTGATGATGATCCCTTGTGAGTAATTTTTATGCTTTCATAATGATCCTTTTCACTTTTTTTGTATGATTACTGGATTATTGATAAGCTAATGGTTTGTTGGCAGATGCTGTGGAGATTGTGGGAAGTTGTTGGAAGATAGTTTTTTAGTTCGGGAGTCACGCGGTGAGAGAAGAGTTGCTAAGAAGGTAAGAACTAGGGTTTGGATATTGAAAGAGTTTAGTAGTACTGAATTTGTTTGTGATAGCAAAGAGTTTTGTTTAGAGCCTTTGTTTGGAAGAATCATAATTGAGATTGAATTGCATAAAATTGGACGGGTTTTGTATTGGGATAATTTTATTGAGACATAAAAGGCCATCCATGGTAGGGGTGACCTAAGTGCATCGATGTTGGGTGAACGCCCGAAGTGGGCCTGGTCATCCGATTGGGCTGTGGCCACCTCGCTCGAACTGGTATTTGTGACCCATGAGGTGTTCAAGGAGCAACGGTCTGGAGGTATTAGTCAAAGGGGAAAACCGTCTTTCCCATGATTTGGGGAAGAATCGATCTTCCCCTACTCCCAAGATCCTGATAAGGAAGTTGAGGAAACCATTTTTACCGGCATCCTGCTCAGGGATCCTCTATAAATATCCCAACCTCAAAATTGAGAAATGATCATTCACAAATTCCAGAGAGAAACACACAGAGTCTCTCACAATTCCGATGCAAGCAAACTCTCTCTTAAGTATTGTTCTTTCAGCGAGTATAACTTTCAATCCACTACAACAATAACAACCAAGCCTTATCCCACTAAGTGGGATCGACTACATGGATCAAATTGCTATCTAAGACCATGCTTCTATACAAATCGTTAATCTCGATTTTTTTAATAACTCCTCTTATAGTCTTTGTAGGTCTTCCTTCTCTTCCTCTAGTTATTTGAATTCTCTCCATTTGATCTATCCTTCTTACCACATAATCTACAAGTCTTCTCTCTACATGTCAAAACCACCTAAGTCTATTTTCCACCGTCTTCTTTATTATAAACGCTATCCCAACACTCTATCTGATATTTTCATTTCTAATTCTATCCTGTCTAATCTTACCACGCATCTAAGACAACATCCTCATCTCTGCTACACTTACTTTATTCTCGTGTTAATTCTTAACTATCTAACATTTTGTCCCGTACAACATCGTAGGTCTCACCGCAGTCTGATAAAAATTTTCCTTTAACTTGAGCGGTACCTTTGCATCACATAAAACACCTGAAACTCTTCTCCATTTCAGCCACCTAACTTGAATTCAATGGTTTATATTCCCTTTTATTTCTCCATCATTTTGTATTACAGACTCAAGATATTTAAACAGTGTGACTTGAGTGATGATATGATCTCTAACTTTCACTTTAATGTTAGAAACACTTCTTATTTTGTTGAACTTACATTCCATATACTCCGTCTTACTTCTACTTAGGCAAAAACCGTGTATTTTTAAAGTTTGTCTCCAACCTCTCATTTAAATTCTCTTTGGACTCTCCAAGTAGGATTATATCATCCGCAAAAACATGCATCTCGGTGCTAACTATTTACTCTAATTTTATAATTTCATATTATATTACATTTTAGGAATTTAATTGGAATGATAGAGGGCATGCTTATTTTGAAGATCATAATTTTAGGACAAATGCTGCATAGATAGATAATAGAATGAGGGTTTAGGGTAGGAACACGTTTAGTTTAGGGCTCTACTTGGGTTCATGATAAGCAATGGAGAATGATTGAGGGTACTATTATTTATTTTGCATATTAAAAATGAGAGAGAATGGAGCATAGAATTGGATGAACTTTTTTATGATATACATTCTACAATTTGATGACCAAACAGGAGAGAGTCTTAGTTTAGGGATCAAGTTGAAGCTTTATTCTAGTTTTAATCTTTATCTTTAATTTCAGTGTAAAGAATCAATTTGGTTTCTAAATATACCAGGTGTTCTCTCTATCATTCTTATGCTGCATAGGTTGATGACTACATTCCCAGTGAGGGCAGATTCTTTTACCGGAACATTAAATCTTGGGAATATAATAATGAAGAGTATCTTCAGGTACTAAAAGTTCAACTTTTTTCTCCTGTTTATTTTAACTCTGAAGTTGTGTATGGTTGTATTGTGTTTTCCACTGGTTTGCTATTTCTCTGTTTGGTTTATGTGAAAACTCGTTCTGTATTGCATCTAACTCAACCTTTAATGCTTTTAAAGGAACTAGCTGCCAAGGAAAAAATTGCTAAGAAAGCTTTTCAGGCGTTTTTCCGAAACTGTTCTAATGATTCGCTCGCAGCAAGAGACAAACTTGCTCAATCTGCCATAAAATCCCTGGCAAAATCCAAAAAGGTAACTTTGGAATCAATTTTCTTTTGAGGTTCATTGTGTGTGTGTGTGTGTAGAACTATTTGAGTATTCTTATGATTATGGCTGCGCTGTTATCAACCATCTTTTTAGTTTGCTTCTTCTTGGCCAAGTTTGAATTTGTCATCACAAAGACAGCATCATTCACTTCACTGTCTTTTGTTTTAGACAATTTCTTTTTTGTATGGACCTAATAGGTACAAACTCCATTAGTATATACAAAGTTGTTGGGAATTTTTCAAAATGAAAATTTTAAGAAATTTTACCATCCCTAAAGTACTCCAATTTCGCCCACAACTGGATGAATTGCATGTCAAACTTGACATATAGATTGCAAAGTCTGAAGTTCTGAAGGATGCTCATCCCCATATGAGTCCAACCAGTGTGACAGTTTAGTTTTAAGTGCAGCTATAGTTATCACACTATCAAAAAACTTCGCTCGTGTCTTGAGATCTATAAGTTGAGGTACACATTTTATTAATTTATTCAGTATCTCCCATGATTTGTTCAAGTTGACTTATCATATAGCTTGGCCCATTGCCTCAAATAAATCATATATAGCTGACTTATCATTTAAATCCACTAAACGAAGTACTTTGAATAGTGGATAAACACCTTTCAAACAAATCACCTTTATCTATAATCACTTCTTCAATAAGCTTCCCTTCTTCTGTTCTGGTAAACATGCTTGATGTTGGTAGATATGGGAAATATTACACTAGGACACGTAAGAAGAAAGATAAAAGAGGAGAATCACACACAATCTAATTTCTGTTAGTGCTGCACATGGCTCAGATAAGTGGCAGCTTTTGAGTGCGGAAAGGACTAGGATTGAGTGAATAAATGATTGGGATAGGATCTATTATCGTTATGCATGATTTGAGTGGAGTTATTCCCATAGGAGAGATAAGGCCTCTCGAAGCGCCTCTTTCATTTTCTACTTTCTGCTTCTGCATATTCCTGTACTTTCTGCATTTTCTGTATTACTAGATCCCATATGAACTCTAGTACTTTAATAAAAATCATTCCTTTCTGATTGTTCCTGTGTACTTGTTTACTATTTTACCCTAATTACTAAATTGATCCTATCAATTTGGTATCTAGAGCCTTGGTTTCGTAGCACTGTGAATGGTCTTAACACGAAGAATCATGGAAAACAGAGTTGTTACTATAGAACAGAGGATGGATAATTTCGAGGGAACGATGGAGCAAATCCGTCAGTTGGTGATGGAGCAGCAGGCACGACCACAAGTCACCGTGGAGCAGATTCGTCAACTGATTCTGGAGCAACCAGTACGGAATCATGCTAGAAATGGACGACCACGAGTGGGAAATGGTTATGCTGACGACGCGAGGACGAAAGCGAAGGGAGTACGATTTCTCATGAATCACGACCAAGACATCGTCGTCAGGGGGGTGGAAACGGAGCCAGATTCTTTGGAAGCAGACGAAGGTTGGAGATACCCATTTTCAAAGGCGAAGACGCGTATGGGTGGATGGTGCGAGTTGAAAGGTATTTTCACTTGAATGGGGTGCGAACACGAGATAAGTTAGAAGCGGTGATGCTGGCTATGGAAGACAAAGCTTTAAACTGGTTTCAATGGTGGGAGGAGCAGGCACCACTGAGGACTTGGGAAGAGTTTAAAGTGGCAGTGCTGAAGAGGTTTCAATCGGGATTATTGCATAATCCAATGGGACCGTTGCTAAGCTTGAGGCAAAAAGGGTCAGTAGTAGAGTACATGGAGAAATTCGAAATGATGGCAGCTCCGTTGAGAAGAGAAGAGAGAATCATGCTGGATTCTATCTTTTTGAACGGATTGAAAAAAGAGATTCAAGCAGAATTGAAACTCCATGAGAGTCAAAGTCTAGCTGAACTCATGGAAAGAGCCCTGCTGATTGAGGAGAAGCATGAAGTTCTTCATAAGAAAGGTGGTTCATGGAGAGACAGAGGAGGGAGTTCTCTGAGGATTAGGGATCCTGGAGAAGTTGGGGGATATAAGAAGGAGGGAGAGAAGAGCAGTAGTGGGGGAAATGAAAAATTTAGGGGAAGAAGGCAAAACCCTGCAGAATTAGAAGAAAGGAGTAAGAAGGGATTATGTTTTAAGTGTGGAGACAAATGGAATCGAGAACACATGTATATTCAAACATATGAGTTTAAAGTTGTGTGAAATTAGTAGTGACGAGGAAGGAGAAAAAGGGGAAGTAGAAACACCAAAAGAGCAAGTGGGAAGAGAGAGTGGTGGAGATGAAAACATTGCATATGTCTATGCAAAGTAAGGAAGGGTTTACTTCAAACAAATCCTTCAAGGTATGGGTGACAGTTCAAGATAAGGTTTTGCTGGCACTAATTGACTCAGGAGCCACTAGCAACTTTATAGATACAAGAGTTACGGAAAAGCTAGGACTGAAGGTGATGGAAACTCCAACATATGTGATAGAAGTGGGAAATGGAGAGAAGGTTAAAAACCAAGGGATATGTGAAGGACTGAAATTCCAGATGCAAGGAGTGGATTTCAGTCAACATTTTTTCTTGATGGAACTAGGAGGATCAGATATGGTGTTGGGGGGTGGATTGGTTGGCTAGCCTTGGCAACATTGAGGCAAACTTTGGGGAATTATGCTTGAAATGGAAGCAGGAGGGACAACAGTATAAGATACAGGGGGACCCAGCTCTATGCACAAAGCAAACCTCTTGGAAATCTATGATCAAAGCTTTAAATGATGAAGGCATTGGATTTTACATCAAATCCATGGATACAAACCCACTGATGACAGGAACTGAAGTGCAAATTTGGGAAGATGTACTGAGTCCCTTTGAAGAAGTGTTTCAGCTGCCTACTGGATTACCTCCTACCTCCTAGGAGAGAACATGATCATGCTATCAGGCTTAAGGGAGTTGCTGCCATACCAAACATCAGACCTTACAGGTATCTTTTTACCAAAAGAATGAAATCGAGAAGATAGTAGGAGACATGCTGCAAGCTGGGATCATAAGACACAGTATCAGCCCTTTCTCTAGCCCAGTTTTGTTGGTGAAAAAGAAGGATGGGGGCTGGAGATTCTGCACTGACTATAGGGCTTTGAATAAGGTAACCGTTCCTAATAAGTTCACTATCCCTATTATAGAAGAATTTTTGGATGAACTAGGAGGTGCTGAAATATTCTCAAAGTTAGATTTGAAATCTGGTTATCATAAAATTAGGATGAGGGAAGAAGATGTAACCAAGACTGCTTTTAGGACACATGAAGGACACTACGAATACTTAGTGATGCCTTTCGATCTCACAAATGCACCCTCAACATTTTAAGCCTTAATGAATGAAGTGTTGAGACCTTTTCTAAGGAAATTTTGCTTGTTTTTATTTATTTTTATTTTTATGATATACTCATTTACAGTAGGAGTGTGGAAGAGCATAAGAAACATTTGACTGTGATCTTGACTGTATTGAAGGAACAGAAGTTGTTTGCTAACAAAAAAAAAGTTCCTTTGGTCAAAGGGAGATTGAATACTTAGGGCACCTTATTTCTGCAAAAGGGGTGTCAGTTGATCCTAAGAAAATAGCAGATATGGAGAAATGGCCCATACCTAAAGATTTAAAAGGGTTGAGAGGATTTTTAGGGTTAACTGGGTATTACAGGAAGTTTGTGAGGAATTATGGGAAAATTGCTTGGCCTCTTACTCAATTGCTCAAAAAAGACAACTTCAAGTGGAGCAATGAGGCTCAAGTGGCATTTGAGAAGTTGAAGGCAGCCATGACCACTCTGCCTGTTCTAGCAATGCCAGACTTTGAAAAAAAGTTTATTCTAGAAACTGATGCATCAGGAAAGGGGAATGGGGCAGTGTTAATGCATGAAGGAAGACCAATTTCATACATGAGCCAAACTCTATCTAACAGGGCCCAGCAGAAGTCAGTTTATGAGAGGGAACTGATGGCTATTGTGATTGCTATTCAGAAATGGAGACCTTATTTGTTGGGAAGACACTTCAAGGTACATACTGATCAGAAAAGCCTAAAATTCCTAACTGAGCAGAAAACTATGGGAAAGGATCAGCAGAAATGGTTATCTAAGTTGTTAGGATTTGATTTTGAAGTTAAATGTAAACCTGGAAAGGAAAACAGGGCAGCAGATTCCTTGTCTAGGCAGATGCAGCATAATCAGATTTCTACCATCCAGTGTGAAGTTTGGGAGGGTCTAGAAGAGGAAGTGCAAAAAGATGACAAGTTGAGGGTGATTGTGCAATCATTGGTTTCTGACCCTCACAGTCATAACGAATTTCAATTGAAAGGTGGGAGACTGTATCATGAAGGGAGAATAGTGGTTGCCAAGCAATCTCCTAGAATCACTTGGATTTTGAATGAGTTTCATGATACTGCCATTGGGGGACACTCAGGACAGTTAAGGACTTATAAAAGAATAGCCAGTGTTGTCTATTGGGAAGGCATGAGGAGATAAATACAAGACTATGTGCAGGCTTGTGAAATATGCCAGAGGAATAAATACCAAACATTCACACCTGGAGGGTTGCTTCAGCCTCTACCTGTTCCCACCAAAATCTGGAGTGACATATCAATGGATTTCATTGGAGGGCTGCCCAAGGTCCAAGGAATAGATACAGTTATGGTGATAGTGGATAGGCTGATCAAATATGCTCACTTTCTTCCAGTCAGCCATCCATATACAGCAAAAGGCATTGCTGACTTATTTATTCAAGAGGTGGTTAGGCTACATGGATTTCCCAGCTCCATTGTATCTGACAGAGATAAGGTTTTCTTAAGCAACTTTTGGTCTGAGTTGTTCAAACAGGCAGGCACTAAGCTAAAGTACAGTAGTGCTTACCACCCCCAATCAGATGGCCAAACTGAAGTAGTAAACAGATGCTTGGAAACCTATTTGAGGTGTGTAACAGGGTTGAAACCTAAGCAATGACCTAAATGGTTGGCATGGGCAGAATATTGATATAATACCAATTATCATGCATCTTTGAAAACTACTCCCTTTGAAGCATTATATGGAAGAGCACCTCCTGTGTTGGTTAGAGGGGACACCTCTTTGTCAGCTATGGATGAAGTCAACAAATTAACAGCTGAAAGGAACATTATGATCAAGGAGCTACAAGAGCAATTACTTAAGGCACAAGATATTATGAAAAATCAGGCCAATAAGCATAGAAGAGAGGTTGAATATGAAGTAGGAGAGATGGTGTTTTTGAAGAATCAACCTTATAAGATGAAGAAATTGGCTAAGAGAATCAATCAAAAATTGAGTCCGAGGTACTATGGACCCTATGAGGTATTGCAGAAATAGGAGCAGTGGCTTATAAGCTAAAGCTACCTGAAGATACAAGAGTGCATCCAATTTTTCATGCTTCCTTATTAAAGAAGGCAGTCTCACCTTCAATGGAACCACAACCATTACCAGCTTGTATGAGTGAAGAGTGGCATCTTGAACCAACTCCTGAGAAGGTGATAGCTACTAGACAGAATAAACAAGGAGAGCTAGAGGTTCTGGTTAAATGGAAGAACTTACCAGACTTTGGATATTCCTGGGAATTGGGAGATGAGATACAAGCAGAATTTCCAGCAGTTTTCCTTGGGGTTAAGGAGAGTTTTGAAGGGGGGAAGAATTGGTAGATATGGGAAATATTACACTAGGACATGTAAGAAGAAAGAGAAAAGAGGAGAATCACACACAATCTAATTTTTGTTAGTGCTGCACATGGCTTAGACAAGTGGCAGCTTTTGAGTGGGGAAAGGACCTAGGATTGAGTGAATAAATGATTGGGATAAGATCTATTATTGTTATGCATGATTTGAGTGGAGTTATTCCCATATGAGAGATAAGGCCTCTCGAAGCGCCTCTTTCATTTCCTACTTTCTGCTTCTGCATATTCCTGCACTTTCTGCATTTTCTGTACTACTAGATCCCATATGAACTCTAGTACTTCAATAAAACTCATTCCTTTCTGATTGTTCCTGTGTACTTGTTCACTATTTTACCCTAATTACTAAATTGATCCTATCAGATGTCTATTCATTAGATGTGAGCATTCCTATCAATAAGCTTTTATTGTCCATGAGACACCCTAAAGTTAGATAAGATGTTGCAAAGCGAGTTTGTCTGGTCTCTCAAAATCCTTTTCTTCAGTGAAATATTGTAATAAAATTAAGGAAGCATATGAATAAATATAAATATATTGTGTAATGTTCTTACGATTTGAAATTGTGCACTGCACATGGTGTTCGATAAAGCTTCTTCCTTTTCTCCATTAAAATTGCACCAACAACTATTTGATACTTTGTGGGTCACAATCTGCACGTTTTTTTCACCAGCTTCTACAATTTGATATACAGTGTCAAATGTTTTATCAACAGTTTTTGATATGTGAGAGGCATAATACTTCTTAGTCATGTTCCGCTCGTTCAAGCCCAATACCTCTCAGTCATGGATTGCAAGAGAACATGACATCTACAGAATATTCACGGGATGCCATATGTATGAAGTACTTAATGCCAAATTTGCTCTCATCTGGTGTTGAGTGGCGTGTAGGTGTCTGCAAGCTTCGCGCTGCGTTTGAAGGTTGCCCTGTCGTGAACGGGCTTTGTGTAATGGTGTTTGCGCTGTTGTTGAGAGGAATCAAACCCCTTAATGCCGCACTCCTTTGCGTCTCTGGCCTTCTTCTCCATGTTGTTTTCTTCTCCCTGTATGTAGCCCTCAGCCCGTGCCATAATCTCCACCATGGAATTAGCAAGTTGTTGGAGAAAGATGCATTGAAGTACCCTCCTCCTTTTAGGCCATTCTGAAATGCTTCAACAAACATTTCTTGATTGGGATGGACCAGGGATTCAGATTTCCCATGGCAGATGTTGAACAAATTGGTTGTTGAGACCTTTCGATGCTTGCTCGCCGATAATTGATGAATTAACTTCCTTTAGAGATCCTGTTAGAAGGTCATCAAGATTGTAGGTAGGTTCTTATACCACCTTAATGTCGTCTCCTTGAACGTACCAGATAGGAGCTTACGCTTTAGGGAGTCGCTAACGCCTATTATCGCCATGCAAGTATTGATGTGCTCCTGTTCTCTCTTTTCGTCGAAGGCTATCAGACACAACGACTTAAAGTTTTCTGGCACGAGTGCATCCCAAATTTCATCAGAGAAGGGCTGGGACCTAGGATCTCCTCCCTCCGGTGGATACCCTTGTGTCGCTGTTGCTGGAGATGCAAAATGTTGTCTTGCAAAGCTTCATTGGCATGATGTAATTCTTCCATAGTTGTCTGCATCTCCGTTATGGTTTCTTGATTGCCCCTTGTTGGCGGTGCCTCGTCTCACCATTGTGGAACTGTGATTAGGACAATTGGTGTTTCTGATGAGGGTGCGGTCTGAGTTAGTTTTACCGCTTTATGGTGGGCGCCAACTATACTTGAGGTAAGTACAATAGAGGATACCCTGCCTGCGATGAGATGTGCAAGAGGGCCTTTTGAGTTCTGATCTCTAAAAAGTATGATTGAATGCCCCAATTGTGCGACTGGGGTATTTATAGGTATGATTCATTGACCTGGTCGATAAGAGGACAGGTTCAAATACCTATATGTTTTTCCACACGTCTCTTGGCCTTGACCAGATCGTGGGAGGGAGTGGAACTAGTCACCCCCCTTAGTAGGGAGTGCGGTGTTAGCCCACAAGACTTGTGATGACTTCAATTACCTTCCTAATACGTGGCTTAACAAGTTCTCCAATGATCCATGACTGAGACATATTAAGTTGGACTGGGCGATCCATGACTGAGACATATTAAGTTGGACTGGGCGATCCATGACTGAGACATATCACATATTGGGTTGGACTGGGCGATCCATGACTGAGACGTATCAGGTGAGATAACGTGTTCGCCGCTTGATCCCGTCCTTTCACGTCACCCGGACTAGATAATTAGTGGACCGGCCTCTTTGAGACCCATTCAAAATTATTCCCGTTCACAACATTTGACCAAAGGGAAGGATTTGGTGTGACCATCGAATACTATGATTGCACTTAAAATGAAAGCACCATCACAATGGTGGGGACTCGTATGGGGATAAGCAACCAAAACTTAATTGAATTGCGTTAACCACATTTATATTGTGTTAGCCATTGGTTGTCAATAGCGGCTGCTAGGAGACCAGCCACGACGGCAAGGTTGCGGGCGGTGCAGAAACATATTGCAGCCGCACTAAGGAAGATAATGGATAGCAGTTGCGGAGCGGATCCCTTTGGGATTGGATTTTGGCCCACTAATATTTTTTTCCCTTGAAAAACCGATATTATCCCTAAAATTAAAACATTTTAAGGGTAATTTTGAAATTTTCAATTAAATTTAAGTCACTCTTAACCGATATTCCCCTTTACTAATGAACATTCTATCTGTTTTTTTTATATCTCAATTTTAATTTTACTTGATTGTTTGTCATTCTGTTGTATAACTGTTTAAATGTAATGTGTAACAACTTGGTCCTTGTGTTTAAAAGACCATTTTGCAATATATACATGACCCAAATGGAAAATACTAACTTTAATCTTTGTGGTTCAATTGCTTGTTATAGAAACAGGCACAAATTCAAGAGAATCTCAAGAAAGTAGCCTCTGAAAATGATAATATTTCAGAGTCTACGTCAAAGGAAAAAACAAAAGAGGATGAATTGGGATCATTTGACGAATTTAAACATACTTTGTATCAAGAAAATGCAGGAAGGAAAAAACGACAAAGACGGTTTGTACCGAGAATATGCAAATGAGACATAACTATTAAGATGATGGTTATGGCTATGATGGTTATTAATATAAGGTTATTAACTATAAGCTCCTCTTAGTTTAACTTATCTGCTACCTTTTCCAACATAATCAATATAGTTGGCAGCAACAGCGGAAGCACAGATTGTAGAAAATCTTGGTATGTTGAAATTCATCATCCAACAGGCTAGAATCATTTATCCGTATTAGTTCCTTCCAAAATTTTGTTCATTCTTTAATGACCATTTATTCTTTTTGGTTCTCCCTTTACTTGCAAAGCACGCAAGAACATAGATTTACAATTACTTTCTTCATGCATTATTATTTATAAACTTAAATACTCCAATTCACTTCCAGCATATGATTGTTCTAGAACCACCTTATTCAAGCTGATGCAGAGTGGAAGTGTTGGTGAATGTCATTTAGATTTCACTTTCTTGGTAAATACAGTTGATTGCTTAAGTCATTATGCCTTAATGGATTATTTTTTTAGTGGCTTATATGAAGGAATTCAGAGATTAGAGGGCAATAGACCCTCTAAAATATATAGAAAAGGCATTGGCTGTAGGACTGTTACAGCAGCTAGTCAACTATCAGTAAACATAAGTCTCCTGCCGGGATAAAAAATTATTTTGAATAAATAAATTGTGTAAAATTAATTTTAGTTAATAATAAATTATACGAAAAGTGATTATATTTGAAAACATTCATGTACAAGTTAGTTAAATAATAAATTTGAATATAAAAATCACGTTTGAATCACAAACTACAATTTTAAATTAGAATCAATTTCAAAGATAAAATCAATCACAATCGATACATCTCAAATATGGTCGATACATCTCAAATATGTTGAAATTAATTGTGTTATGGATCACTTAAAAGTTTTTTTCATCGGAAAATCAACACACAAACAACAACAATAAAGTCTTATCTCATTAAGTGGAGTTGATTATATGAATTAATTTTTAACATAATATTCTATCTAGGACCATGTTTTTATTCAAATTGTTAAATTCAAGATTTTTCTTAATAACTTCGATTATAATTTTTCTAGATTTTTTCTACCTCTAATTGTTTGACTTCTTTCAATCTAATATATTCTTTGTACCACATAATCTACAAGTATTTTCTCTACTATCTTTATTTTCTACAATCTTTTTTACTATAGGTTTTACTCTAGTTTTCTCTCTAATATTGTCATTTTAAAGCTTATCATGTCTAATCCTACCACAAATTCAACAAAATATCTTCATTTATGCTACACTTAATTTATTCTTGTCTTGATTATTAATCGTTCAATATTCTGTCTAATACAACATTGTAGATTTTACCGTAGTTTGATAAAATTTCCCTTTCAACTCAACTTGAGTGGTATATTTGTGTCAGATAAAATTTCCTAAAATATTTCTCCATTTAGTCACTCCGCTTGAATTCAATGGTTTACATCCCTTTTCATTTCTCCATCATTTTATATTATGGATAAAAAAATATTTAAACTGCGTGACTTGTGGAATGATATAGTCTTTAACTTTCATCAATAGGATAGAAACACTTATTCTTTTGCTGAACTTACATTCCATATACTCCGTCTGACTTATGCTTAAGTGAAAGCGGTGCGTTTCTAAAGCTCGTCTTCAAATCTTCAATCTCTCATTTAAATCTTTTTTCTACTCTCAAAGTAGAATTATATCATATGCAAAAAGCATGTATAAATCTTGGATGTGTTTCACATGTAAACTCAAAATTAAAGTAAAAAGATAAAGATTTAGGATTAAACCTTGATACAAACCTATGTAGTCGATACCCCTTCATACATATCTGGGATAGCTCAAATATATAACATCCTAACCTCTTTCTTCTCTAGGGTTTTCCAAGAAATCTCTCCAGGAACTCTATCGTACAGCTTCTTCAATAAGAACTAAGTGCAAGTCTTGTTGGTCCATTTGATACTGCTCCATCACACGTCGTAATAAACATATTGCTTCCACAGTCGATCTCTCAAGCATAAAATCAAATTGATTTTGAATGACTTGAGCCTCTTTTCTTAGTCTTCGTTCAATAACTCTTTCACATAACTTCATGGTATGAATAATAAGTTTAATCACTCTATAATATGTACAATTTTGTATATCCCGTTTATTCTTATAGATTTGAGCTAAAGTGCTTATTCTATATTCATCAGACATTCGCTTTGTCCTTATAAGTTGGTTAAAGAGTTTGGTGAGCTATTCGATGCCTCTATCTCAATTTTTTTCACACTTCACTAGGTACGTTGTCTGACCCAATCGCCTTATTGTTTACTTATCCTTTTCAACGCCTCTTTTACCTCTTGTTTTTGGATTCAACGATAGTAGTTATAGTTTCGATCCTCTTCTCTAATATCGAGTTTGATAGAATCCGACGAGATATCATATCCTTCATTAAATAAGTTGTAGAAGTACGTCTTTACCTATCATGTATATCATTTCCCTGAGCTAAAACTTCGCCTTCTTCATCTTTAACATGTTTCACTCAATGCCTTCTTGGCATTGTTTCACATTTTTACACCTAAACTATTTTTTAAAATAATCCTTTTTTACTTAAACTTTACTCTGGAAACTTTCATTCCACCAGCATAATTCTTTACCATTATGTCCAAAACCTCTTAATTCCCCAACATATATTTATCTACTTTTTAATCTCTTGCTCCATCTTATTCCATATATAATTTGCACTTTTTGGAGGTTGCTTAAGTCCTCCCTCCAAGATCTTGTGATGAAAACTTTCTTATTTTTCATCCATCAAATGTCACTACTTGATCTGCAGCACTTCCATATGACTTCTTTTCTTTGCTCTGCTCTTGATTCTTATATCCATAAGAAAAAAATCTATGTTGGATAGTCAAACTATCTCCTGGAATAATTTTGTTGTCTAAGAAAATCTTTCTATCTGTCTTTCTAATAAGAAAGAAATCTATCAGAGAACATTGTCACGCCACTCTTATATATTATAATATGTTCATTTCTTTTCCTAAACTAGGTATTATCTATAGTGAGATCAAAAATTGACAAAAAAATTCAAGATGGATTTATCCTCCGCATTTATCTCCCTGAGAGCATATCTCTAATGCATGCCCTAAAAACTTCTAGCTATGCTCCCCACATATCCATTTAGATCTCTTTCTAGAAAAGCTTATCTCTTTAGGCTATATTCTGAAATAAGTCTTCTAAATCCTTCCAAAAATTTATCCTAAGGTGTTATGCTAACCAGCCTGAGGTGCGTAAGTGATCGTGTGGGAACCGCAAGTGCACAATTATGTCACGTAGTAAAAATAATCAAACATACAGAGAGATGTATGATTATCAAAACTTACTTCAACTATGTTTATCTAAAGTGATCGAAAAGAGTTTGTTAGTTGCAGATTGAAAATTAATTTTGACAAATAATTAAAAGCAGGACTAGAAGCTATGAGCATCCATCTAGACTCACTCCTATGGTCATCCATGTTTGAATTACGCGAATTTATAAGTTATTTCAATAGAAATTTAGATAAATGTGAGTGACACCCACTTCCGTGGCATGCACATCTATACGTGTTTCGGGCACTATTAAGCAGTTCAATCGAGAGCGTTATGCTTTGCCATGAGACACCATATTTTTGTTTTTTTCAACTGAGATCAAGTCGCCTTGTCAGTGGAGACCCGGACACAATTGTTTAGTAATCTACTTTCAGATGTCGAATAATTATCTTTCGATACATGATCAACATCTATTTTGCCTTTGCTTTCGTAACCCACAGAGAGGTGGATAAGAGTTTGAATTCTAAAATAAAGAAAATCTATATTTCCCGTAATTAAAAATGAATAACTCAATTGGAGTTTGTCATGAGATGAAATCTCATAACCCCGTGTACCTATGGATCTACTCACTCATGGTGAGATGGACAAAAGATAAATAAATTAAAGACATTGCAAGTAAATAAAGTAAAATAAACAAGAGAAACAACTTTTAAATGAAAAGGATGGCAAGATTAAAATACGAATTGTGCAGAATTACAAGAGAGAAACCCAAAAACTAACGAAGTACTTAAAGCAAAGAACAAGTGTACGAAATGATAATAGTCAAAATTGATGGATATTTAGGCCTCTATTTATACCAATCCCAGCCTTAAGTTTCTCATAATTGGCACTAATTTCAAGTTTAACTCCCTCTTATCACTAACAATAAAAGTTGAGAAAGTTACAGAATCCAAAAGGTCATAAAAACTAACAAGAGCTCACAAGTTCGTAACTTCATGAAGACTGACACATGCCGTTTTAGGGAACATAAATTGGTTGTGTTAGCCTCAGGTTGCTTGTATGAAGGGGATTTAAAGGGACCAGCATGATCCGTGTCATGGGACACGACCTGACCGTGTTGGTCTAAAAAAATTTGTATTGGAAGTGTTTCTTTTTGTGCGATCTCCGGCCTTTTTCATCCTAATTCGCTCCATTGACCTCTTATTACTTGAAAACAAACAAAGGAGACAAAATTGTGTAAGAACAAACTAGGATGATAAAAACACGCATGAAATAGAAGGGAAAACAAGCAAGAGACATGATATATTTACCGCTTATCAGTAAGCACTAATAATATTAATGATGTCTTGCTCCAATGCAATTGTCAAGACTATGATTCTATTTCCTACTCTTTTCACATCCATACTATCCTTCTTCCATTTATTGTCTATAATATTCCCCACCCTATTTCTTGATCTAACATTTCTGGTGTACCAAAACTTAAATTTCGAGTTGTCTAATATTTCCGCTTTTTCACATGTCTACTTAGTTTCTTGTAGGCACATGAAATTAATCTTCATCCTAACCATAGTGCCCATCATTTCCATAATATCATTCTTCATTTCCTTGTCCACAATAATCTCCAGTCCATTTCTTTATCTAACTTTTTCGGTGTACTAAGAATTAAATCTCGAGCTGTCTAATGATTTCTTCTTTTCACCTGTCTACTTAATTTCTTATAGACA